GTGAAAGTGGGGTATATAGCAAAATCATGACCATTGGATGTGGGAGTTTTAATTAGTTTTTAAATTATAATTTTTTGTGTTATTTTTACAATTTTCCAAAATTTAATTCCGATTTCAGTTTTACTTTTTTTGTTTGGGTGTGAATTACAAAAATTTTATTCTTTTATCATTTTTTTTGTAATAAGTAAAAGAATTTCGAATCTAGACTTTAATCAGTCTCTACTAATATCTTTTAACATAGTGTAAAGCATTACACCCATCACGATTTGAATTAGGACCACAACAAGATTAATCTTGTGTTTAACTATTAGCACACGATATTGGCTGGTTTTATGTCAACACTGAAAAGCTTTATAACTTTTTTAATTTTTAAAATACATTATAATTAGTTGACAAATTTTAAAATTATAGTTTATCTCTATAAGCTAGCTTATTTATTAAAAACTAATCTTAACTTTATTTGTTTCCATGTAAGTGTTATTTTTCATTGTTTTGTTTTAAAATAAATAAATATTTTCTTTTCGTATTTTCGATGTGAAATTTCATCAGACAAATATCTAAGCTAACATCAAATCAAAATTGATTAAGAATCATTTTTTTAAAAGATAATAAAAAAAATAATATGTTTTTAGTTTGTTTGGAAAAATGTATAATAGTATGAAAAAATGGTATCTTACATGACAATGATACCACTATAAAAGGTTTTTATATTTAACTCTATAACTCACTTATTAGTTGGAAGAGAAAAAAAAAACCCACTTATTACATTTTACACTGTTGAGTTTAGATTAATAATAGCAATAGTGCAAATAGTGGCTACAAGTTCTGATCTGTTTTCTGCCTAACTATGTAGAAAATGATAATCATTTGATTGATTTCTATTGATCCTTGAGAATGAAATGTCAAAGACAATTTGTTTGTGTCATTTGTTAGGTTTTATTTTTGAAATTTTGCGTTATGGCTTTCTTATTTTGCTATGACAAATTTTGTTTTTTTAATTAATGGAGAAAGAAAATATGTCACATCACATTGACAAGTCTATCATGGGGCACGTGCTAGTACCTTCTTGGGTTCTGAATTTTAACGAAGATGGAAACTGGAAAGTAAACTATTTCACTTTTAACAATTTTAATAAAATTTCTTTCCAATTAATTGTATTTGAAATTTC